TCTCTGAGAATACTGTTTTGTTTTATTAGATGTCCGTGAAATCCAATCTGCTCCGGACTCTCCTGACAGCCCACATTCGGAGTGTTTTTCATGGACGTCCCTATAAAACTGTCCCTCTCTTCCCATGCGAAAACATTGGGGGCCGTTAACATAAAATCCCCATAAAACCAGGCTCTAATTCACTTCTCGGAGGATGGAAAAACAAAGGCAGATTTAAGGTTTCCTTTTTCCTGCGGTTCCTTCCCCCTCCCCCCCCCGCACAAGTTCCTTTTCAGAAAAAGGAATTCGTTAAGCGAGGAGGGTGAGGGGTTGTTGTTGTTGTTGTTGTTGTTGGCATTCTGAACAGTAAACTTTCCCCATCACAGGCGGATCCCCCTCTTCTCACCGGAGAGCAGTGGCTTCCCTCACCCTGTTGTCTTGGCAAAAAGGGCCTGCAGGCGATGGTTCTGTTCTGTTCTGCCTTGTTTGGACTGCTTGGTTCAAGGTTTTCCGCCCAGTAATCAATATGTCGGCAGTTCTCCTAATCTGGAAGATTGGGCTTCCAGTCTTCCTCGGAAGGAAGGTGGGTGGCTGCCTCTCCCACGGCTTCCAGAAAATCCTTGCCTGCCAGACATCGGATCCTCCTCCTCCTCGTGTTTGTCTGGAAGGAGGCGACCGTCCCAGGAAGGAAAGCCCTGGGCCTTCCAGGGAGTGTATTTCTCCTTGATTCCTTGGAAGGCAGCCGTGCTTTATTGGCATCCCATTCATTGGAGAGATGAAAGATCAGCGCCTTTTCCTCTTCCTTTTCGTTTCTGCTCTTTCCAGGATGTATGCGTTAGCCTTTCCAAGATACATAAATATGACTTTCCAGTATAAATGGGATTTTTTTTCCCTGAAAGCTTGAGGCCCTCAGCTCTCGAAACACGGAGGGGCTTCCTCACTGGGTGGGCTCAGGCAGAATGGTCTCTCTGGGCCTCCCGTCTCCTCTTTTCCAAAAGTAGGACACCGCAAGAGTTGGGGGTCGATCTGCGGTGCTGAGGATCTGTCGGTAGGCAGACGTGGGCTATAAAGGTTTCCAATAAATAATAACAGATAAAAGAACATGGTTTTAGCCTCTCTTAGGGAGACGCTGAGTTAATCCCTGGGTTTAGGATGGTTTCAGATCGGGTGGGACTCAGCACAGGCCTGAAAGTGTTCGCCCATGGCAGGATTAGGGCGTGACTGGACTTGTGTGGGTGGGTGGTTGGAGAGCACTGGGTGCGAAAGCAACGGGCTCCCAGGACATAAAGAAAACATTTTAACCCGGAGGCATGGCATGGCATGGCATGACATTTTTCGGGTGTAACAAGTATTGTTTTCACATGGTTTCACAAGTTTCTTTCTCCCGGCCTTTCAAGATGTTTTCGTAGGCAGAGTTTTCGTAGGCAGGCTTCCAGGACCCTGTCATTCCCTTCTTCATTGTGAAGCTCCTGCCCCCCACCCACAAGGGATGGAAAGAAGCTGGAAAGCAACCAATCACAAACAGCAGCACGAGTTACTTTTCTAGCAAGTAACGGGGAGGGGGAATTGCTTTTCATAAGTAACTTTCCAAGCTCTGTGCAAAACTCCCATCCTGAGTACCGTGAAGGGAGCAGAGGTCTTGACCCCCGACCTCTGTGGGTTCCTTCCAGACGACCCTCCCAAGGGCTGAAAGGACATCTCAAGGGGGCTCGCGAGGTCTCCCCAGAGCTGGGCAGCGTTTCTTCTCTCGACAACAGATCCCAGAATCCCCCCAGGCAAAGCCGCCAGCCTTCCCCTTCCCACCTACTTTTACGGCACAGGGGAGACTTCTGAGCATCGCCAAAGGATATGGAAATGTAATCCATTTCTCTGGGACCCCCGCCCTGTGGTCACTCTTTGGTTACCCAGTGGGCAACCCTCTGGATCCTTAAGAGGGTGATGGCGACACCACCGTCAGATACACCGCGGGATTTTACCCCGCTTATAAAACGGGTACATTCGGAGCATCTTTTTTTTTAAGCTGCTTGCATGAGGCGCCAGGGCTGCTTCGCATCGGTCCCGCTTCTTCTCTGCCTCCGTTTTCCCTTCGCCCGGAGGACTCCGTGGGGCTTCTTCGTTGGCCTCTTTCCAGGCTGGGGAAGGGCTTCAGGGAACTGGCCAAGAGGGAGGCGGACCAGGGCACCTGACCAGGTAGGCGAAAGGGGGGGGGGAGAGGCCGCGATGAGGTAGGGGTGCCCCCTCCCCGACCCCTCCCCCCCGCCCTCCCGATGTTTAGGAGATGGTTGGGCCAGGAGACCCTTCAGAGCTTGGAGGGCGTGTGTGTGTGTGGGGAGAGAGACTGCGGTGGATGTTGTCTAGGGGGGCACATCGAAGGGCCCGAAGGAGAGCGAGGGCAGGCCCGGAGGCGCTCCCACGTGGCGCGGGATCCTGGCCCCCAGCAGCCAACCTCGAGAAGGCCCCCCTCCCTTTCCCAGGCCTGGCGCGCAGGGCGAGGGGCTCTCTGGAGCTCTACTTTGGAGTCGCCGCGGGTTCTTCCCCCC